TGAAGCCGGAGACCTTCGGCACTAGGACTGTTAGCCGGCCTATACAGTCCGCTGGGGGTACGATCGAGCAGTCGTTTAAGACGACTTTATCTTCAGCCAGCGAACCTCTTCGACCGAGCAAAAAGCTGCCTGACTGGACGGGACTTGGGTGGCTGCGGCAGGTTATCCGAGACTGTCTGAAAGAGGACGTACACCTCTCCCCCGTAAAATCGGAGACTTCTTATCGGATCAATCCCGAGCTCAATGAAGCTCTCCTAGCCGCTGCGGCGGAGTCGAGTACAATCGCACGGTCCGTTGAGACAACTACGTCTTCAACTCAAGAACCTACTATTCCACCGATGAAAAGGTTGCCTGACTGGGGAGGACTTGGATGGCCGAGGCTAATTGTGCGACAGTTCGTGAACAAGGAGGTACGCCTTTCCCCCGCAAAATCGGATAATTCTCATGGAACTAGTTCCAAGCTCAATGAAGCTCTGTTCGGCGCCGCGGGGGAATGCGAGCGCTCCTTTAAGACGACTACAACTGCAATCAAGGAACCCATTCGGTCGAAAAAGGCATTACTTAACTGGACGGAACTTGGCTGACCGAGCCCGGTTGTGCGAGACTGCTTGGAGAACGACGTACAGCTTTCCCCGGCAAATTCGGACAGTTCCTATGGGACTAGTCCCGAGATCGATGAAGCTCTGCTGGCTGCTACGACGGCGTATAGTACGGGCGTCGACGAGAAAGGGCTGCCTTCTCCCACAAAATTGGATAGTTCCTATGGGACTATCCCAAGATCGATGAAGCTCTGCTAGCCGCTGCGGCGGAGTTTGGTACGGGCGTCGACGACAAAGGGCAGCTTTCCCTCGCAATATCGGACAGTTCCTATCGGACTTATCCCGAGCTCGATGAAGCTCTGCTTTCAGCAGCGGCGGAATCTACGAGTAGTACGGCTTGAGCTTTTTGCGCTGGCTGCAAACGAGCAATATAAATCGTCCGGGTACTTGAAATAAATGAATGTGGTGATCGAGCCAGAAGTGCGTGTTGAGGCCCTTTTGTTGACTTGATGGCCACCCCACGGCTGACAGGGCTGAGACAAAGGCTCAGTGGACGGGATGAGGTCATGGCGCGACGAGGGGCGGCTGCCAAGCGGCCAGGATACTGTAAAGGTGGGGATTCGTCACTCCACCTTGAGGACCCCACCTCGAGGCGATGCAAACTTCCAGGTACTCAAATACTTAAAGATTCCTTTGCATATCCCCAAAATCTGTTCCCAAAATCCATCTCCATCTCGAGCACAGCTTTGCACGATCTCACAGTTAGTCTGACGTCCTTCCTCACGTCAGTCTTTGAGATCTCACCACCGCTGAGCCGAGCAAGACACACACAACAGTACACTTTGAGCTAGACTGCTACGATGCGCCTCATCAAGCAGGACATCATACAGCGCGATGGCTCCGGTACTGCCACTCTCTTCCCCGAGGAGCCTGAAGACATGGTAAGTCCTGATACTCAACCCTAAAGAGACGTATCTAACCCCTCAGTGGCATGCCTACAACCTGATCCGCGCCGGCGATCTCCTCCGCGCCTCCGCCGTCCGTCGTGTCACCACCGAAGGCAACAACGGCAACACCACATCCAAACGCATACACACAACGCTGACGCTTCGCGTGACGGGTACGGACTTCGACCCAGCGGCGAGCCAGCTGCACGTCTCTGGTCGCGTAGCGGAGCAGAACGAGTATGCCCCGCTCGGTGGCCATCACACGCTTGACCTGGAGCTGCGACGACAATTTACGCTTGAGAAGAAGGATGGCTGGGACAGTGTGGCAATCGGGATGCTCCAGGAGATGGTCAACACGCAGGCTCGCGCGCAGGTCTGGGCTATTGTCATGGCGGAGGGGCAGGCAAATATCTGCTATGTGACTGAGCACCAGACTGTGCTTCACCAGCGGATAACGGGGAATATACCCAAGAAGCGGGCGCAAACAGGAGAACACGACAAGGTACGTAAGGTCTTTATGCTCTCACTCGCTTGCTGACAATACAGGCCACCGGAAAATTTCATGCACAGATCCTCGAGGCGCTTCTCCGCGTCCTGGATATCGCCTCCCCGACCGCAGTCCCTGGCGACCTGAAGCCCCTTCTCATCGCCTCGCCCGGCTTCTCAGCGCAAAATTTCGTCAACTACATGAAGTCATATGCGCAAACCAACACCCACAAGCCGCTTCTTGCGCTCTTGCCGAAGATAACAGTCGCCCACACCTCCACTGGTCACCTCGCCGCTCTGTCCGAAGTCCTCAAGTCTCCCGAGGTCACAGCGAAACTGAGCAACACGAAATTTGGCCGGGACGCGGCCCTGCTGGATAGGATGTACGAGTCTATTCGCAAGGACGATGGAAAAGCATGGTATGGCCCGAAGGAGGTGGAGGCGTGTGTCGACAAGGGGGCTGTGGGACGCGGAGGCGGCATTTTGCTCATTACCAACAGTCTCTTCAGGGCACAGGATGTTGCGGAGCGGAATCACTGGGTGGCTTTGGTTGATAAAGTCAAAGCTGAAGGAGGCGAGATACGCATCGTGAGCTCTTCTCATGAGAGCGGGAAGCGCTTGGAGGCTCTTGGAGGGGTAGCTGCGCTCCTCACATATCCCGTCTACGAGATTGAGGACGAGGAAGAGGAGGGTAGGGCTGATGTTGGGGAGGTTTGGGCGCCGTAGACCTGGTTTGGTGATGAGGATTGATCGATATATATCAGAAACCTGTGGGTATGGATGCCTCAGGAAAGGTTTGCTGAGTGATGGTGTGTGGGATATTTTCAACCTCAGCCTTGGTGGAGAGGTTTGTGAAGAGGAGCTTTTTTCAACGGCATGTCGGTCAGAATACCCTTGCGCTAAGTGATTGGAGAGCTAGCAACGGGTAGCTCTCCCGCGATCCCGTTCGGCTCCCGATTTAGATCTTCCAAGGCGAACGACGTCTTTTCCCCAATCGATATGATTTAACTGCGCGCATGAATCTGCTTTGCATATCGTCGAAACAGTGCACCAACGTCCTCGTCGCAGCCGCACACTCGGTAATTCCCAGTCTCCCATTGGCCTGCGCCTGCCACAACGTGGCACTGCGACATCCGAACTCCGAACCATCATCGTCCACCAAGGATAGTGCTGACTCTTTATTTCCGTCTAAACAATCGCGCTTTCGTATGTACGGTACCGTAGTAGCTCACGCTGACAGCGTCAAAATAGCATCACCCCTCAATCTCAACCCCTGGTGCTGATCGACGTCTCGTTCCTGCAGTAGCCGCAAGGCTACGCGATATCTCCTGGAAAATCCAAGCATCTTATCAGCGCCACGAATTGGCAGCGTCGCGACGTGCTCACGAATCACGCATCATGCATCACGCACCACCCAACTCCCAACTTAAAATCCAAAATCCCGAATCCAGCATCCCGCATCCTGCAACAAAACACATAAATGACGACTTCCCAGCCTCCCCCTCTCAGCTCGCACCCCCGCACCGGCCCCTCCACCCCGCAGCTGAAAAACCCAAGCGGCGTCTTCCAGCGCCCACGAGTCGCCCTCACGCCCTTCTTGGCGCCAATCCCGCTCGCGCACGCCTCCATGTCTCGCCAACGAGTGGCCAGCCTCGCGGCGGCGGGATGGCGTGCGGAACGGGCGTTTCGCGTGTTAATGGAGGCGGCGAAACGGTAGCATGCTCGGCGGGCGTGGTTGGGTAGTTCGGCGGTGACATTGCTGTGGGCCGAACGCCGCATCAAGGTCACTGTGCATGGCGTGCCGATATGATGAGCCTGCGTAAATACCTGCCCTCGCCGCCCGCGGCGCCAGTGCAGTATGTATCTGGGTTTGCTGTCGTCTGGAGTTTTTGGCGGGTGAAGTTTTGAAGTCGCTGTTTTGTGGGATTTGGTTGTGATCTCGTCTTTCGTTCTTGGTCAAAATGCCGGCGTGGATGATCACCATCCCGCTGCTCATCACAAAGGCGCTCAATGACCTCTTCACCCAAGCCGCGAGCATCAAAGCCGTCAGCTCCTCGCCCTGGACCTGCACCGGGTACCACCCCTCCCCCTCACCCTACCCCAAACCCGTCTAACACCCTCAGCGGCTCCCTCTACATCGTCGCCCACCCCGACGACGACCTGCTCTTCCAATCCCCCGACCTCCCCACCGAAATCGGACACAAAACCTGTATCACCAGCATCTACCTCACGGCGGGCGATGCCGGTGCCGGCCCGTCCTCGTCCTACGCCCGCGACCGCGAAACGGGGAATAAGCAAGCGTACGCCCTCATGGCGGGCGTCAAGCCCGATAGTCCGTGGAAAGAATCCACCGTCAAACTCGGCGGCCAAAGCGTGGCGCTGCACACCCTAACCGCCGCGCCACATGTCCAGCATCTGTGGTTCCGCCTCCCGGACGGCAACGGCGATGGAACCGGCTTCAGCGGGACCGGCGGGCAGAGTCTGAAAAAGGTGTACACGGGATCAGCCTCGTCAATCGGCGGGTGGTCACTCTCCGACATCAAGTCGGCACTGGGTGACGTCATCAAGGCGCGGAAACCCAGCATCGTGCGAACGCAAGACTGGACGCGCGGATGGGACGGCAGCTACGACCACCCAGACCACGCAGCAACAGCGCGGATCGTGCGCGAAGTAGCCGGCGGACTAGGCGTGGGCGTGGTCGGGTACGTGGATTATGCGATCCAGGACATGCCCGTTAATGTCCCAGTGGGAAGCGCGAATTACACGGCAAAGAGTAATGCGTTTTGGGCGTATGCGCCGTTTGATAGCAAGGAGTGCCAGTCGCTGGGGCAGTGTGTGAAGGATAATTTTGGGGAGGATGATTGGTTGCAGAGGCAGTATTATGTGTGAGGAGTTTGGGACGAGGGCTGGTTGGAGTCTTGTAAATAGCCATATGGCATGACGGCGGATAATGAGGCGAAAACGGTTGATGTACATACACGCATCGGTATATAGGAGTGACGGAACCACCGTCATCGGGCCTCACATCGGACCCGTGGCGCAACGGTAGCGCATCTGATTCCAGACAATGGAATGACCAGAAGGTTATCCGTTCAAGTCGGGTCGGGTTCAATGCCCTCATCTTTTTTTGACTTCGTGCAAGCGTCCCAAACGTGTGGGAACAGGGCCAGAGAGATCCGGCAAAGAGCCTTTCACCCACGTGGTCCTTCTTTTTGGCTCACTTTGAACCGCTCCGAGGACTGTTTGTAACCTGGCTGTGACTGTCGGCCAGCTAACCATGTGCATGGACCAGAACATAAAGTAGAATTTACATATAAGCAGTGACGACATTGAGTTCACCTTGCAAGGCTTCAGCCTTCGAGTGTTGCATGGTTCAAGGCCTTGGCTCGACTACGTTCCGACCACGTTCCACCGCAGGGCACACAACGCTTAAACCAAAGTGCGGGTACTCGTGATATGAAATGTGAGTGAGCCAAAAAAAAGACAAAAAGGTAATCATGTCTGTCCTCCCAGAATCGAACTGGGGACTTTCCGGTTTACAAGGTGATACCATTACAGCCGGACGCCATAACCAACTAGACTAAGGACAGTTTCTGATGTGAGAAGAATTACAAGAATTATACTTGAGCCAAAATTAAACGCTGAGAGGACGACTTAGGTAATCAACTATGTTTCGAGCTGTCAACAGGAGATGGAGTAGAAGGAAACAATTGAAGGAGTGGTAAAATCTCGCAATAGTTAGTCCCGGTGCGAAAGACGGTTCAATCGCAGATCCGATTCTTTCCGTGATTACCTAGATGACACTGATGTATCCCGATTGCAATATGAAAGAGATCTATCCAAATAGGGCAAAAATCCATCAAATCCAATCAGATAAAGCCCTTCAGCGAGAATGATACCACCGTTTAGTTAGACCGGAATTTATTCCGAGAGAGGCCTCTCAAGAGCCATAATACGGTTGTGAATCACGACATATTCACGGCCAACAACATAGTCGTCCACCACAGCAGAGATTCTTCCTCTAGATCTAACGTAACATGATCAACGGCTCCTGCAGCTCACGATACGTGAACCAGCAGAAAACACTCCAGTCAGATCAAAGATGAAGAACTACCACAACAGACAGTCAACCACACCCACCATCCTCCACATACGAACCCTCATCCCCGCCCCGCCCCCATCCTAATTAACTCCTCCGCCCTGAGAGTCAACCGACTCACCACACAATCCTCCTCATCCCTCCCCCTCCCCTGCCCCTCCTCCGGCAGACCCACGACCAACTCCCTCCCCCTCACGCCAGACTAGCAGGCAGCATTCGCCCTCCCCACTGCCACGCTCCTACCCAGAGGCCCAACCCGCGGCTGGCCCGGAATGCCACCCACACCCCGCCCTTCACACGCAAGGTCCAGAGCCTTGCAGATAGAAGCCAGCGTCCTGCCAACGGCTGCCAACGATCCGGCTTCGGACTGTATGTCGCAGGTGCCGTCCTCGCGCGGGTCGACGTCCGAGCGCAGGACCGGCGGTGGACAAGGCGTGGCGCGGGTCGGCTCGGCTATAGTACGAGCAGGCCGGGCGTCTGAATCGGAATCGATGACGGCGCCGGTGGGAGACAAGGGACTCGGCACCTTGCGGCGCGCCGCGGCATAGCGCCGGGTTGGGAGCATCCCGAGGGCCCGGCGGGCGCAGTCGCTGATGTCCGTGGAAGTCGAGGAGCCTAGAAGGGAGTGATCATCCACGGTTCGCATGGAGGGGCCGGATTGTGACTGAAGTGCCGGTTCAGCCTTGTTGTCCGCTAGAGAGGCTGTGTGATCACCCGGGGCGTTCGCCGCGTTCAAAGTGGTGTCCCCGGCCACACGCTTATCGTGTGGTTTGGGCACAAGTGGCAATGAAGTCGTCGGCCGAAAGGGATCATACCACACCGGCCCTATAGTCCGCAACTCCTCATCCACAAGCATCATCACCGCCTCCATCTGGATCTCCCTCGTCACCACCCTCGTCGCCTCCACGAACATTCAAATTCCATCCAACTTCCCAACCGCTTCACATACAGTAACAACAAACCCCTCCCTCATACGCGTATACGCACACACCCGTGTCACCCCAGCTCCACGACGCACACACTCCGCCGAGCATTTGAACAGCGGCGCGCCCTTAAGCGCGTCAACAAGTCACGGATCATAGTTTCCAGCATGGGCATAGCCAGTGTAGCGGCAAAACGCGCGCCCAGGTGCTTCGCCCGCGGGTCGTTCCCATCTTCCATTACAACGTGCGGAAGCGCAGCGCGTACGCAGGCCAGCATGGTGTTGTGGGCCAAGCCGCGGAACAGAGCGATGGTGTCGGCGGCAGTCTGGGCCCATTGTGCTGCGGACTCTGGGTTCGCGGCGAGGATTTGGTATGGCGAGTTGGAGGCTGCGAAGGCGGCGATGTAGTGGAGCAGCGAGCGGATGATGTCAATCGCGTCGAGGAAGGTGTCGAGGAGGGCTCTATTGTCGATGGTGTGCATCGCCTCGAGGATCCGTGGGATGATCGTGTCGACGAGATCTAGGACCCCGGAGGATTTGGGGTCGCTTGGTATGCCGGGCCCCAGGCGTGTGGTTCTAAAGAAATCCATTGTGCTACGTTGGTGATGATGTGTGCTAGCGATGATGATTCGTAGTTATGAAGAGGATGATGGTTAAGCGAAAGGACAGTGAAACTTACAGGAACAGGAGCGGTAGCACACGAGTGTGAGTGATGACAAGCAGAAAGTTCAGACTGGCGAAGCAGTGAGAACAAACCAATCAAACTGGAGCTACTACTATGATGAGTTGCTGACCAGGAAGATGGCTAGACGAATTGAGCGTGAAACTTGCAGCCTCGGAAGCGTCCACACCATCGTGAGAGAAACGACCAGTAGTAAGTTCGAAGCCGCAAAGCAATGGAGCAAGCGTCGGCAAATGTGGAAGCGGTTGTCGAGGAAAGGAACTTTTTCGAAACTTTCGTGGGGCAAAGAAGAAGTCGACGAGCGGAACTCAGTGAATTTACCACCACCATTCATCACGCACAGACCACGCGAATACTCGCCACACTTGCCCAATCGAGCGAACCGCGAGCAAACGGATATTTTATGGAAGGAGCCAGCACTCACTCCAGCCACTCCAGCGCTAGCCGGCTGTCATATTGCCGGTAAGAGTTGGCAGTTGATATGCCGACGTAGCTCTGCGCCGAGAGGCTTCTCGTACATCTTCCTGTCTCGTACAGCAGTGCTTTTCCGACATGTCGTCGGATGCTGGAGCAGGAGCCGGTTATTTAGGACTGTTGGCCGACATGGAAGGTGGATCTATGGGGTCTACCGTTTGCTATATCTGCTGGACGGAAGGCCAGAGCCGCTGGAGCCATGCGTCTTCCAGCAGCGTTGAGCAGGCATCAGCGGTGAATATAAAGCCCCCGCGTAAGACGGTTGGTGCGTTATGCCGACAGATTACGCGTTTAGCCCATCCACTTCGACGTCTTCATAGCCTAAAGCTGTAGCCGGCGCATCCCCATCTCGACCTCCTTCCGCATGTTTGAGCAGCAAAGTTAGCGTGTCGCTTTCATCTGAAACTCAGCACGATACCAAACCATCTCCCCCCCACACCCCCAGTTACCCTCCGCCTCAATCTCCCCATCAAGCAGCATAGCGGTCCAGATACTCTTGGTATTTTGTCTTTCAGCGTCGTCTGCGGACGGAAGGACGGCTTCATCGCCGCGCGGATTGCCGCCGTAAAAGCTATATTAGCGCCCTGAACCTCTCGCTAAATTGCCGTGGGTATTTTTGCTGTGGGGAGGATGGCATGATGGTGAGCTGCTCAGCGGCGTATATCCTGCGTCAGTCCCGCTCCCTCCGGCCAAATTCTTCAGCAGCTTTTATACACAGCCATAGCCATCGTTACAGTCCTCTGCAGTCATCAGCGCAGTCACGCCAAACAGAATCCACGATGAAGCAACCCACCCCCAAACGGTGGAGCCGGGTCATCTACAAGTATGACCCTTCGTTCTCCGCGTCGACTGCAGTTGTCGTCAAACCCCAGCATCCGTGCACCGCGCCAACGCCACGCGGATTGGACCCCCCTGCATGGCACAACGGCGGATCGGGCCGGGGTGGGGTCTGGGCAGCCGCGTGGGGAAAATACGGGACGGCTGGTTTAGTGGGATTTGATACCGCGATGATTCGATTGTATTGTCGGGTATAGCTAGAAAGGCTTGAATTGGAGACCTTTGCCCGTCGCTTGGTAAAAAGCACAGCCAATATCCTCGCGCACGAAGTCGTGTGTGGCCCGATCTCCACGGATACGAGTATAGGACTATCACTCTCAACATTCCCCTCTTAAAGAACCGAAAACTTGCCCCCACGAGGCCATCATCATACACTAGGATATCCAACAAATCTACAGCCAACAACCCCACCACACCACGCTCCCAGGAGTAACGAAAGAACGCCTCATACACACAACCCCAACATCTACCCAAGAATCCCCTCATATATCCAAAACCCGTGCTCTGCAATGCCCAAAACTCCCATCATGCAACACCTCCCCTATCACCTAACCTCCCTCCACCTCCCATCAGCAACAACACAAAACGCAACATCCCACTCCCGTCCCCTCCGATACTTCTCATTAACTCTCCCCACACCCCCCAGCCTCACCCAGTCGACCAGATTCCTACACTGCGACACATCAAACCTGACAAGTCGCCCACACCCCTCAACCACCGCCTCGACTCCCTTCCCTGTAACCCTTACGCATCCGCGTACTGACAGATCCTGCAACTCAAGCAAATGCAGCCCCACAGCACGGAGACTCGCATCCGAAACCGCAGACCCGCAAAACGCAAGATTTAAATGCGTAAGATGCGGACATCCCAGCGCCAGGACCTCCGTCGCCGTGTCAGATAGCGCGCAGCAGAAACTCTGAACCCATTAGCCCCATCCCAAAAGCTTTCCCAAAAAACTCACCAAATCCAATTCCCTCAACCCCTTCGCCGCATTACACAAACTCACAACCGCATGATCCGTCAAATACGTGCAATCCGCCAGCACCAGCCGGCGCAGCCTCGCAAAATTATACAACCCCCAATGCGCAAACCCCGCA